TATATATAAACATTATTTCAACAACTGATTCTAGGATTAGTGGTGAAAGGCTTTTTTAAGAGATTGTAGTAATGTATTTGGATAATCAATATTAGTTGTTTTATTTAAATATTTTATATAAATATGAAAAATAATTATACTTTTAAAATAATATTTATCATCCTTAATTTAAAACTATTTTAATTATTTTATAATTGAATTAGTGTTGAATTGACTTATAACATAAATTCTCTCACACACACACACACACACATATATATGGACGCAAGAGAGGAATTGTCCTCTTAGAAATTTTAATTTTTTTTATTAATAATTTTTTGATATAAAATTCTAAATTCGTCCGACATTTGTACTAAATATAGCAGTAAACTTTATTACAACAGTTGATTCTCTATGTAGTGATAGAAGGTTTAAATATAAATTGTTTTAATTATAATTCTGTATTTTAAGTAATAAATTTTAATATATATCGCTGAAGACAATAACATCTTTGAAATAATATTGTTGTATTGAATAAATAAATAAAGAGTAATTCCACCTGGCCAATTAAATTATAAAATATCAATTAAAGTTTAATTTGATTTAACTTTATTCGTAGAGTTTGAAAATTGTGTACAATAACTTTTACCAAAAAGAAACTACGAGATCGTAAGCCCCGTTCAGTTAGTCCGATTAGGGACCAAGTATATAACTGTGTAATATTCGGCCAAGGTGCTTCAGCGATGAGGCCATTGTAGCTCCACACCTGTCTCAGCCACGTCCTAGTCCTTTCAGGCAAAGAACAGGCCCCACCGATCTGAAGATATATTCGTTTTCGAGTCTACATCTCTGCAGTATTGGGCCCGGGGACTTTCCCGGATCTAACCAAGTCAATGACATGGTCCCGACCCATTCACTTCGTCTCGTAGTTGGTGCCCTATATTGCCGTGTTCTTCTTTTATAAACTCCAAATGATATTCTTTCGTGGTCGATGTGGGATAAGGGCACACGGGAATTCAACACAACTAGACACGACTATCACAAGACATTACCATGGCTTCCACAACTGGCCTTCCCCATCCTTCTCCTCTTGATGAGAAGAACAAACGCATCAACGGCCTTGTATACTCGGGGAAAATCAGTTTGAGCTATATGAGTATCAATGACATACAGGATTCGCACCATTAACCGGCTTTTCGATATCGGAATCTTCCACGAACTCTGTAATATTGTTGTCAAAGTTACTACTGGAATGATGAGGATTTGTCAATTAGCACAAAGCCACCCGATCATCCTTGTCGAATTCCTTCAAGTACGATTCGAGCAACACTCCCCATCCTTTCCTAAACCAGATTCACATTGCAGCAATATCCATCCGCTTATACTTGGAGAGATCAGAGAACATGTGGATTAATCCATTCTATTACGACGTTTAACATGCTCCGAACTTGATCTATATGTCTTGAACATCGTCCTACCGATAACGAACACAAAATCTCGAGAACCGGTAGGAGGGCAAGGAAGGGGTTTAAACAATGGGGGATACCAAGCATCAGGCTCACTGTGGCAAATCACAATGGTCTCATTCACACAGCATTCAGTATGGTGCAGCTGAATTGACAAATCCCTTATATCTCTAGACAATCCCTATTCCCTCCCAAAACTCTAAGGACTCTAAATCACCATGTTGGTAAATATCCAACCTGAAACTCGGGTTTTGGATGTTTTTCATGCAGTCACGGAGTGCTAAAACATAAGACCATGCTTCTCAACTATACCCATCACTGAAGATTTAAATTGCGGTCGCATTTTCGGCTGTATTTATCGCAATTTTAGTAGTAATAATGGTTTTGAGCATACCTTTACCGGTCGTTGTTATGATAGCAGCTATTTAAATCCGTGCCCACCACCTGAAAGGAAAGGAGCCATCCATAGAACACAGTAAGGGGGCCTCCGGAAATGGGATTTTGACATAAATGACAGAAAAGATCGATAAAAAGTTGGATAGTTGTAATAAGTGAGACTTAATTTCGTGTGCAGGATTTCGGAGTAATTTGTTTGCAAAAAATGGAGGAGATTGCTACGAAGAGAACAAAATCAAACCTAGGAGATAATAAAATCAAACAATTAGTTCATGCTATGATTAACAATTTTCAAAAATTCTAGTAAAAAGAAACTCCGAGATCGTTATCCCCGTTCAGTTAGTCCGGTTAGGGACCAAGTGAGTAACTGTGTAAATTCAGCCAAGTTACTTCAGGCAATGAGGCCATAGAGGCTCCACACTTGTCACAGCCCCGTCTTAACCCTATAGTGCAAAGAGAAGACCCCACCGTCCTAAAGATTACTCATTTCTGAGTCTGCATCTCTGCAGAGCACGGACCGGGGATTTTCCTGAATCCGACCGTGTAGATAACACAGGTCTCGACCCATTCTTTTCGTCTCATAGTATCAGTTTTTGCTAACAATTATCATAATGATCTGAGAATTTTAGTTCAGTTACAAGATAGTATGTGTGTTCAAATTTGAATCTGAATATATTTGCGCACACGGCGCTTCTACAGATTAAGTTACTCGAATCCATATCACCAAGGAGAACATGTCCCCCTTTACAAGTTGATCTTACCCTTTTTTATTATTCCTCTAAATTCTCTCGTCTTTGTTCAAATTTAAGCCATGTGACCGGCTAAAAGTTATCTAACGAGGTAGTTTATTGCTAAACATGTGGAGAAATTAACACTACGACCATCTCACCTCATGTATTTTTCTTCTTTTGCTTAAAGACAAGGTTTGATGGAAATCAGTGGACATAAAACTCTGCTAACCGAAACAAAATGCAAGCATTGGTAATATAATTATCCTTTCTCTTGACTAAACATTTTAGATTTTGTTTGTATTGGATTTTTAATTTGCCTTGTTGTGTACTTTTGAAAACATCCTGTCCCATCCCAACATATATTTAGTTACGGTAGTAAAACAAAACAAGTTGTGGTTTCATTTTCAACACTTGCTAGTAAGAAAGTGGAACAGTTTGGAATCCTTTTAAGTTTAATATTAATCCCCTGCCCAACCAATTACAAGTATTCAGTCCTTACACTAAATATATGGAGAACCATACATGAGATGATGAACTAGAAGATAAGGAGATTGATTCCACCTTGGTAAATCAAATGTGAGTTGATGACTATACAAAGCAATTCAATCTGCACCATAGTTAGCATCTCTGTAAATTTGTTGAAGAACACAATCCCATCCTTACACTAATTTTTGACAATGAAGAATGATGGTCCATATTGACCCTTGTCTTTCAACTGTTTAAGAACCTTTTTAACCTCAACTCCAAACTCGAACACAACCACCGATTACGACTAATGTGCTAGATGTTTCTATGGGATGTGCAGCTGCTGGTATTGAAGTGCGCCTGGGCAGTCGACCTCCTCCATCATTTGGTGAGACTGATATGTGCAGATGGGTACTCGAAGGATCTTCAATTACCGAGGGAGATGATCAGAGCGGCCGGTTAATGAGCATGGTGGACGGCCTCAGCCCCGGTGTATGAGGAATAAGTTGTAACACCAATATGTACAACCCTGAAGGCTTTTTCCATTATGTCTTAATTGTTTTTGAAATCAAAGAGACTCAGACATTACAGCTAGTTGAACCATATGGTTTATAAATAATTCACATATACATTATCAAAATTTCCTTCTCCGTGATTCTTCCCTTATGTGAAGAAGTGTTGTATTAGATCAACCATCTGGTGATGGTGTCAAGTATGACTAACATAATTTGCATGATCAAAATGAAAACAAAATATAATTTCAGTGACTAGTTTATAAGTTTTTGAATTGAGTGACTAAACTAAAAAATAATAGTTGAGTGACCAAATTTGTAGTTTTTCCTTTTTTGTGAATTGCATGATCACAAGCACATGGAGTACAAACTCTATTATTGATTTTAATTATTTTTTTTTAAAATATATTGATATCAAAACAGAGTATCACTTGGCAATTGTTCATAAAAAAAATATATGTACAACTAATAATAGTAATAATTAAATTATATCTCATAAAATAAATGAATTAAACAAATAAACCAATCTAATTATCTATTTTGAGAACATACCTAAGGCAAAATTAAATCAAACATATTTACGATGGAATCTAAATTTAAGAATTTAACATTTCAAGAATAGTGTCCATTTATATAGTTCAAAATATGTTGTTAGTCCCTAAACTATGAAAAAACTTTAAAAATATAAATTCTCAGACATTTTCTATTTAAAATTTCAAAGAAATGCTACAAGTTATGTTAAATGAGTTAACAATAATTTACTTTTAAAACGGGTATGATTACATGGGTATACTTGGGGATGGATATGGGTGGGTTACATCGAATTTTTGGTGAATTTGCTTCGACCCAAGAAAAGTATCTAATTCACTCCACATGATCCATTCAATGTATAGAGAAGTTCTATTTGATCCAAAATTATTTATATATTTAGAATAAAATTCGCACTCAACACCACCCATATATATATATACACACACGATAAAATAAAATTTTAATCGAAAAATATAGACGTATACATATAGGTAAGAGAAAATTGCACTATTTTCTCAAGTTGGATAAAAAAAATTCATCCAGAACTCAAATCAGACCACTTTATCTTTCAAAGAAAAGTTCGATCCAATCCAAATCTATCTTATAAAGCGATTCGAAAATTGTTGAATATGAATCTCATATAGTATACATATGTTAAATTTCAGTAAACAAAAATACTAACAGTATCACCGATGTGAATTATAAATCTATAATTAATACGAGCTTATCATTTGTAATATATGCATTAAATGAATAGCGGTAGGAAAAAAACAGGAACGTTATGTACATAGACATGAATAAACATGAGATTATGATTGTTTCTTATTTTTACTCTAATTAATTATAATAACATCTATTACATCCTATTACTACTGTACTATCAAAAACACATCCGAAGACAATATATTTTTTTAAAAGATTTTTAACGCAAAACACTATCTTCATCTTCTACCTCAAGCTCATGAAGATTTGTTTGACTTGAACGTAAAGTAGACGATGGAGAGAAAGAAGAAACAGCTGAAGAATAAGAGGTGGAATCGGAGGACGAAGAAGAAGAAGTAATGGCCAAAAGCAGATCAATGAAAGCACTGATTATAAATCCATGGTTGTTTTTATTATTGACCTTCAAATACCATCCAAGAAGCTCTTCCAGCTGTTCCCACTCTTTCATCCCATGCGTCTCCACCATCTCCTCCATCGACAGCCGGAAATCCACGTACGGATCGTTGGATTCCATCGCCAAAACCACGCTCTCCTCGAACGGAAACGAAGCTGCCCTGCCGGTTTTAGCCTCTTCGAGTATCGAGCTCGTGTCGCCGCCCGGCTCGAAGAACAGCCTCTCGGATCGAGCTCCGTGGACCACCACCTCCAACGACTCGACGGCTCGATCCGACTCGGTCGAGAAGCTCGCGGACTCGGAAGAGTGCGTGAACCACGACTCGGGAGTTTCGACACCGGTGTTCGCGTCGAAGAACATCGAGTTGACGGTCTTGAACACGTCGTCTCCGGCTCTGAAAGAAAGGGTTTTGGGCTGCTTGCATGAAGGCCATTGCCATGGTTCTTTGGCCTTGAACAGAGCAGGCAGCTTCATTATCTTCTTCCTCTTTTCCTTCTTCCTCGTGGTTTGGTAGAGATTTGGTTTAGGGTTTGGGTGATAATAAATATGGGAGTTGAAGCAATGGACTTTTAAAGAAGAGGTGAGGAGGTGAGAGGGGGGAAGATGGAAAGGAAATGGGGTTGGTAGAATCTGTCATGTTTGTATTAAATTTTAGGGTTTGAGAAATTCAATGGTTTTTAAATTTAGGGTAAAGTATAGTAATGGTCACTGAACTTTTCTAAAGCTTTCATTTAGGTCCCCAACTTTTAAAACTTGCAATACAGTCCTCCAACATTTAGTTTGATTGTAATATGGTCCCCGACTGTTATACTACCGTTAGTACATTTGCAATATGGTCACTGAACTTTTTAGGCGCTTGCATTTAGGTCCCCCAACTTTTAAAACTATCAACATAATCCTCAATTTCATTCTAAACTACAAATTTCAAAATAATTCAATTATATTTTAAACCCTAAATTTAAAAATACTTCAATTTAGGGTTTAGAATGTAATTAAAATATTTTTGAATTTGGGGTTTAGAATGTAATTGAAGTTTTGGAATTTGGGGTTTAGAATGTAATTCAAAGTTAGATTAGAATTTCCCATGCATCCATGGCTGAAAAGTTACGATGGAAATGAGAAGAGAGAAGCAAAAAAGGAAATTCGAGATCGAAAAGAAAATTGGGGTTTAGAATAAAATTAAGGATTGTGTTGCAAGTTTTAAAAGTTGGGAGACCTAAATACAAGTACCTGAAAAGTTTAGTGACCATATTACAAATGTACTAACGGCAGTGTAATGGTCGGGGACCATATTGCAAAAGGACTAAATGTTGGAGGCATGTATCGCAAGTTTTAAAAGTTAGGGGACTTAAATGAAAGCTTTAGAAAAGTTCAATGACCATTACTATACTTTACCCTTAAATTTATTGTCACTATACACACAAGTATTTTTGTCCTCAACTTGCCAATTTTTTTGATCTATTTAGCGTTTCACACATTGACGTATATAAATTCATAGACTATCCTAAATTGTAATATTGTATCGTGGTATGTTTTTAATAAATAAATTTAGGATTATTGTAGGATGGATCGAATGGAGATAAATAGGAGTAAGTCACTTTCTGAAATTTTCAAATTATATGTATTTATTTTTTAATATTTTCTATTGATATTTTATTATCATCTCCAAGAATTTTATAAGTTTGTTGATTCTTAAAATTTTAGAAGTTTATTCCTCTTAACATAAAATTTTGTGTTTGTCCCTAATTATCTCATGTATTAGCATTGAAGATAATTACACAAATAATATTATATTGAGGTTATATACCCTATTTAATATTTAGGGTTACAGATTTTAGGGTTTAAAGTAATTCAAAATATGTCAAATAATATTTAAGTAGACTTAATTATCAAATTTATTTTTTTATAGTCCATATATAAAAAAAAATCGACATTTTTTTCATAAATTTAAGAATAAATGGGTGGTGTTGTTTTTATTGATCATATATAAAATTATATGATATCAATTAAACTAATCGATATTAATTTAAACCGATTCAACTCATTTTGACAAAAGAATTTAACAATCTAAACATGAAAATTTTAAAATTTGAATTAACTTAATTTAAAAATTATATAAATCCTTAAATTTGAACCGTATATGTGTTAAACATACTTAAAAATTGTTACACAAATTAAATATGATTAAGCCCTCAGTTTATAAAGCTTGAATTATATAATTATCAAAACATATTAATAAAAATATTATTTTAATACTGATTAAGATAAGAATCTGATTTTTGATCTCGAACAATTCTCCCCTTTTCTTTTATTTTATTTAAAAAAACCTCTATTTTTTATGTATGTTGATCTATATTATATAATACTTAAAGTTGCTTCCTTTACGCTGTAACCAAGGGGCACATCCCGTACTATAAGAAGGGTTTAACCTGCTTTGTCTTCAACTGGTAGAAAAGGGTAGTTCCGCGGTGCGGCGCCTAAAAAACGGTTAATATACGGCGTGATCGGTTAAATAAGTGATCGATTAAAATTTATACCGGTTATGTTATATTATTTAACCGGAAATATTATAAAGTACAATAACATACTAGGTAGCGCTTATATAATGTAATAGGTAGTGCTTATATTTACCTAATTTATAAGTAAACCGGTATATTTATACCGGTTATATTGCAAATTTACCTATTTTATTATAATATGTTGAAAGTGTCCATACTTTTTATAAAAAGGATCGATACTTCTTTTAAAGTTATTAATTTATGTTTCAATTTTTTGAATAGTGTTTCATGTTTTCCACCTACAATATTAATTTAATAATTTCATTTGCACAAAAATTATTTGATTATTTGATATTTTATAAAATATTATTTAGAATTTTTAATTTAATAATAATATATATCGTAACGTAAAAAATAAATCATTAGACGCCTATAATTACTAAATTAAAATCTTAATTCAACAGTGAAAAAAGTATGGACACTTTTATAAAAAGGATAGACACTTTACAATATAACCACTACCTATTACATTATATAAACGATACCTATTACATTATATAAGCGCTACCTATTACATCATATTTTTACCTATTATATTGAAAGTGTCCATACTTTTTATAAAAAGGATCGATACTTCTTTTAAAGTTATGTAATTTATGTTTCAATTTTTTTTAATAGTGTTTCATGTTTTCCACCTACAATATTAATTTAATAATTTCATTTGCACAAAAAATTATTTGATTTTTTGATATTTTATAAAATATTATTTAGAATTTTTAATTTAACAACATTAAATATATATCGTAACGTAAAAAATAATCATTAGACGCCTATAATTACTAAATTAAAATCTTAAAACTCACTCAAAAGATAACCTTAAATTAATGTTTTCCACAGTGAAAAAAGTATGGACACTTTTATAAAAAGGATAGACACTTTACAATATAACCACTACCTATTACATTATATAAACGATACCTATTACATTATATAAGCGCTACCTATTACATCATATTTTTACCTATTATATTGAAAGTGTCCATACTTTTTATAAAAAGGATCGATACTTCTTTTAAAGTTATGTAATTTATGTTTCAATTTTTTTTAATAGTGTTTCATGTTTTCCACCTACAATATTAATTTAATAATTTCATTTGCACAAAAAATTATTTGATTTTTTGATATTTTATAAAATATTATTTAGAATTTTTAATTTAACAACATTAAATATATATCGTAACGTAAAAAATAAATCATTAGACGCCTATAATTACTAAATTAAAATCTTAAAACTCACTCAAAAGATAACCTTAAATTAATGTTTTCCACAGTGAAAAAAGTATGGACACTTTTATAAAAAGGATAGACACTTTACAATATAACCACTACCTATTACATTATATAACGATACCTATTACATTATATAAGCGCTACCTATTACATCATATTTTTACCTATTATATTGAAAGTGTCCATACCTTTTATAAAAAGGATCGATACTTCTTTTAAAGTTATGTAATTTATGTTTCAATTTTTTTTAATAGTGTTTCATGTTTTCCACCTACAATATTAATTTAATAATTTCATTTGCACAAAAATTATTTGATTATTTGATATTTTATAAAATATTATTTAGAATTTTTAATTTAACAACATTAACCAAAGATAATAATAAATATGTAATATATATGTTTATTGTTTTTAATTTAATAATATATACAACATCAAACACATTCCAAGCTATTAATTACAAGCTAAGGACACTTGAAGAAGCAAGAGAACAACTATCCAAGCAATCAAAAACGAGAAAATCCCAATATGATAACAACTGAACATATCATATCAATGTTCAAATCAAGTTGTAGATTTTGATTTCCTTTTGCTTGGCATCATATGAGATTTGAATTTTGATTTCCTTTTGCTTGGCACCATATGAGCTTTGGATTTTGATGAGCATCGGAAGTATTTCAGACTTATGATTTGGGTGGTACTCAGAAGCATTTCGGACTTAGATTTTAGTTGCTATTTGTTTACCACCCAGATCATACGCCCGAAACGTTTCTGACGCTTTAAAGTTGACAAAAAAATACAATGGTCTGGATTTCCCTCGCGTTTAAACGTTAGAAAAAACAATGGAAATTAGGAATAATCAATGATAACATGCATATTGGCTTGGGCTAATATTTATAGTGGAGCCGAAATATATATTGAAATTCAAACTCAAATTGAAATTTAAATTCAAACTCCAATTACATATGAAATGAATTTGAAATGCAGTGTTAAATTGAACATGAAAATTGCATAATTGATTCATACTGTTCAAGTAACATGCTTTATGAACCATCAAGCTAAAAGACAATATTGATTGAGTTCAAAGCTGAGTTGTGAGTTGATGGAGTTGTCACACTTGTCACATGGTTGGAATAAAGTAATTTGATGTAATAATTTTATTTGCACAAAAAATTATTTGATTGTTTTGATATTTTATAAAATAATATTTAGAATTTTTAATTTAATAATAATATATATCGTAACGTAAAAATAAATCATTAGACGCCTATAATTACTAAATTAATATCTTAAAACTCACTCAAAAGATAACCTTAAATTAATGTTTTCCACAGTGAAAAAAGTATGGACACTTTTATAAAAAGGATAGATACTTTACAATATATTATATAAGCGCTACCTATTACATTATATAAACGATACCTATTACATTATATACTTGTAGTTATTGTACATACCTAAATATGTACTGCAAATTTAATGTTGTACCCACCCTTTAACTACCACTACCAATGCCACATCATAGTGAAAGCAGCACGACTGAAACATATTCAAAATGAACCTTTGCTTACATCTCCATCAACTCCTGGAGCACTGAACTTGCACAACAAAATTTTTGCCTTGGATAATACTGATGTAGACAATGTTAAGCCAACCGAGGAATGCCATGAAGTACATAATGTTGATGAATCTGACAGATTGGTTGGTCAGCTCTTCTGTTCACGTGA